AGATCGACACTCCCACCCAACTTGGTGTCATCTGCAAACTTACTGAGGGTGCGCTCAATCCCCTCATCCAGATCATCAATGAAGATATTGAACAGGACCGGCCCCAATACTGAGCCCTGGGGAATGCCACTTGTGACCAGTCGCCAAACATACATTAATACTTCCATAGTGAATTAAATATTAATTAACTAAAATCCTTCTGCTGTAAACATCCACAACTCTGTGCTGAGAAAATATGAGAACAGAGACTTTTTCATTAGGTAGTGCCTGGAAAAAGAGACCCAAAGCATTATCACTCCTAACAACAATACATTAAAGTAATATATGCACTATAACAAAAAAAAAAAAAGGAGAAACAAGTCTCAGGGGCAACAAAGAAGAATTCCACTCATTAATCTGCTCTAGATAAGTGAACTGTGTATCGAGAAATAAATAACCCTCCAGTTATGTTTCAAATCAGAACAATGCCTGCAACATTTAAAGAAAACTTCAATGCAACGTAAAATTCTTCAGTCTGACACCATTTCAAGGTGCTCAAGGACCTCACTTCCTGTAAATGCAGACCAATTTAATACCAAGTAGTTTCCACTAGTCCCTTGACAGATACTACACGTGTAGCGTATATTCTCTATTTTAACAACCCAGCTACCAGAGAAGATAAACAGGTTGTCACTAATGTACATCTCAGTGTGTACATGTACACCAAAATGCTCAAAGCAGCTACAGAACATTGCATTCCTGACCATATGAAAATATGCCTAAAGATTTTAAATGGAGAAATAAAGACAAGAAGGTAGTTACCTTTACCTGGAAATGGTCCTGCCTCAATGACTCCCTCTTTGGTGCTGTCAAAGCCATGAGATGTTATTTTGGTTTCAGAAAGTCCAAGTCCCACTGGTAACGAACGTTTCAAGTCCTTGAAAATATTTGAATAAAAATGGACAGTTAATGTTTAAACAAAGATAAAAGTGACTCAAAAGTATTACAATGCAAATTCAGCAGCTCTCAGACAGGCAATTCTGCCTTTAGCCTGGAACATCTTCGCTGGTGTCACAGCATTCTACTGCGATGCACATATAAAACATAAATGAATGAGAAACACTGTAAGTATAGCCTCTGTAGTTATTCTAGAAACTTTTTTTATATTGATGAACAACTAGAATGCCATCTCTTAGAGCAGCGGTTATCAAAACGTTGCCCGCAACATCATGTTATGTAGTCTGAAGCTGGTCCAAACAACCTTATCAGTTCAATAATGTTTCCAGTTAAAAACTGACAGGGGTACAGAATGATCTAAGACTAAGAGCAGACAACATTTTGCAAACCGAAACTGTGGAAGCAACTATCGTAACATTAAAGAAAAAAAAAAAAAAAGTCACTAAGCAAGAAATAACTCTAAAATTCACAGAATCCTTAACTTCCACAAATAGCACATAAAATCTCTAATATTTGACATGGGAGAAACATGCAGAAAGGCATCACCTCAACAGCTTCCTTCTGAGCACCTACTCTACATCAAAAGCGCTCATAGCACAAAGTTGCCATTTACTTCTGTTTGCTTTTGAAACTCATTGATTTAAAATTGCCTGAGATCACCTTGTTTAACTTCTGAGAGAGGGTAACTACGACAACCAACTTCCAGGCAACTGAAGTCTTCACAGAAACCCAATGCAACCCTGTTACCGAACTATGAACTCACAGACCATGATTCATATTCCATCCTACTCTCCATTTTTGCTGCCTTACCCATCTCTACAAATAGCTCCCAAAGGTTTCGTGGACTATATTTCCAGCCATCTGACTGAAGTTTAAGCTTCCAGTGTTATGGAATATACTTAGTGCTTTAAAAAAAATTCAGGTATTCAAAGCAATTTAAAACCACTAATTTGTAAAAGTAAAAAGTGAGTGAAAAGCTACTCTGGAAGTGAAAGCAAAAAGGTAAAATACACTTATAAAAAATTAAGCATCAAGAAATTGGAAAACTGCCAGTTTCTGGAGTCAGGTACTCTTTTGCATCCCCTCTGCCTCCATACAGAGGCAAAAAAGATGAAAAAGCACAGAGAAGCAATAGTGAAAAGTACAGAGAAAAACTATATGTAGCTTTAAGATGTGAGCGCCTGGACACGTGCAGTAACTATTTATGATATATGCAATGCTTCTAATTACAAAGAAAACACAACCTTTAAAATCCAATCCATGTTTGACATATTACTGTAGTCACTCGATCCACAAACCAGAAGCAAGGTACTGCATAAGAATGATACTGCCTAGAGGCTCAGACTGCCCAGAAGTGGCTTCGGATCACGTCCCCACAGATTTAGTTAGCTGTCTTTAGTTTAAGACAAACTCCTGGGAGGAGGAAAAAAGGAAGAGCTACAAACACGTGAATTCCAGCAGAACAGAAATCTTGTTGACATCGAAAGCCCAGGATGTTACTGCAATCAGAGTAACTAATTCCTACAGCCATACTTTCAGTCACATGAACTCACTATTTAATAATAGATTATGCTATATTTGTGTATCTGCAGCATTATAGCAAAAAAAAAAAACACAAACAAACAGCATGAACAACAAATAGTAGTCACACGCAGAACCTGATCTCGCAAATTAAGCATATCGCAACATTGGATACATATTGTTTTCAGTCTTCACAACTGACTTAACACTGGTGCGTCCATTTAAGTACTCTCAGTTGGTGGTATGATGCTGGAAAACCTTTGCTTCAACTTAGTTTAGCTAAGAGACAGAGTCCATTTAACCAAAAATGTAGCAAGTCACTAGGAGCTGAAAAAGCTAAGACTTGAAAAAGGATAACCGATTGCAGAGGAGAAGGTGCACTGATTTAACAGAAAGGACATAGCATCAATTTTCTTTTCCTGAAGGCACCTTGGCATGTTGTATAGTTTTCAGAAATATCTAAATCTGTAGCCAAAGAAATGTAGACAGCTAACCTGCTTAAGCATGTTTGCAATAGGAATCTAAGCAATCATCCGCATTTACGGCTAAAATGCAGAACATCTGCTTCATAAAGACAAAAGTTTAGATATAAACTTTAGCAATTGTACTACTTCTGTACATTCAACTTAACTCTAATTTGAAGCTAAACATAGGCTGAACAAACTACAAAGTTAAATAAATCAGAATATTACAACACATCCTTTTCTTACATAAAAACCTGATATTTGGATCGCGAAAATTTTTAAGATCTACAATGGTGTATATATACACATCAGGGTTTTTTACATAAATATATATACATACATATGTATATGTACACAAACACATATTTGTTCGAAGAGATCCATGCTTTTTTCATTGGCAAAAAGGCGAAGTTCAGTGTAAAGAACTGCATTCAAACCTGTTTTTAAACACCTACATTAACCAGTTGAAATACACCCTGCTGAAGAAAGATACCCTTGCATATGAATTTAAAAGAAAGATTTACCATTTGTTGATTTATACACAAGCAGATTTGTCATCAAAAAGTCAGTGATCATCAATACACTACCTTTTTGTTGTTTATAAACATGCAAGTTACTGTGCAGTGGAGACATGCTTCTGCATGTAAACTTCAATTTTTAACATGTCATTCTTGCAACTGATTGTGCTTGCTTTTTTTTTTCCACAAGCACAGATAAACAAAAAAGCTACCTGAAAAATCTGTAATCATTCTGACAAAGCAATTTATCCCTTCAATAACTGACAAAGAAGGATAATTTAGAAACAGCCTTAGAGTAAGAAAAGACGTGCACAAAGCTTCACATTTAAGAGAAGGTATGACAGTACTTAAGGAGATTTTAGAGTGGTACGAAGGCAATGTAAATAGCTTTTTTTTTTTTTTTTGTTCCCACCAAATATAGTTCTGCTGTTACAACACGGGAAGCGAGGACAGATTCCCCTACTACAATAAGGTGATTCTATTTTGACTACATATTGCTCTTCTAGCTAAGAGGATGATTTTCGTGATCAGAAGATCTGCTTTCAAACTCATAAGTGATTTCCCCCCTTCTTCGTAAAAGGGAAATCAAGTCTTCAGAATTAATCAATATTTGTTGATACATTTCAAAACCATAAATCCGTCAAGGGATCCACATCACAGAAACAAAAAGGTGCTTCATTCATAATTTTCAATTGTATGAGGCTGAAAGCCATTGCATATTTATGCAATTGCCATCTAGCAGAAGTATTTTAATATTGTAACTTCACTGAGACCCAGAGCTAGTAAGTACAAAACCCCTACAACTCAGAAGATTCCCAGGAAGTCAGAAGGCTGGATTACCTATCCCATTCTCAGCCATTTAGCATGCTAAAGGCTCAAAGAAGCAAAAGCATGAAATATAGGTACACGGAACAGCTGCACTAGTTTAATTTGGTCTATTCAAGACAGTGCAAATGTATATTGTATAGAGCATTTAAACCACTTTAACCCTTTGTTAAAATCCCATTTCAATTAGTTCAAATCACCATATTAAACTAAACATATTTTAGTAAGGTTAGCCTAATTTACGCAACTCTAACAGGGATATTCATCAGTTTATTATACAGATCATCTAGATGAACCGGTATGAATTTTTGACATATCAATCCTGTTGAGACAGCAGACACAGCAAAGAAGTCACTCAGAATTCGTGTTCATGAAGGAACGTTGGCTGAATTATAAGACTATTTCCAAAAAGATACTTCCCATTCATGCTCCCCATAATAATCTAAAACGAAGAGGGGAAAGATACCGGAACTGTATTGTTTCTCCACCAGCGGAGGCTCGCTCAGCAGAAACAAACTTAGTGGAAGCTTAATAGAGCCCAGTGGAAGCAGCAGAAATTAACTTAGCAGAAGTTTAGCAGAGCTTAGTGGAAGCTCACCTAGTAGAAGCTTAGTCAAAACTTACTTACTTGAAACTTAGTAGAAACTAAGAAGCAAGTAAGCAAACAACATTGTATGAATTTCTTAGTTATGCCAGTCTGTTATTAATGCATGACTAAGCATTATCTTTTGCTTAGTACCAACACTAAGTTTAAAAGATACAGTTTTACTTGCCTTTACTACCCTGAATAAAGGTATTTTAAAAACCCCACCTCACTAGCTAGTTCAAGGAGTCCATTAAAGTGGAGCACTAAACTGGGATCAATCATATGTGCTCGTTTATTTTTTGATGGATGGCATTATAATAAAACTAATCAAGTTACCTTTAGGAAAAATTTGCAACACATCTTATTTTAAAGTTCACAGTTTGAAGTTTTACAAGATTACAAGTCCCATGAAACAAAATGTTATGTAGCTAGACATAACATCTATCCAGTAAGACAACTGGCTCTGAACTTTAACTTCTTACATTAGTTCGTGTAAAAGTGGAGCTCCTTGTACGTATTCAGCATTTTCTTCTTCTCTTTGCCCTATTATATCACTCAGCTCCTATTTTCCACTAGATCCTCACATCAATATAAATTCAAGCATAAAAATAAATGGAAGGAGAGCTGAAGGCTTAATCTATGCTGAAGCGGCAAGCAACATGGACTGACACATTTCTTCTGTTCTCCAATAAATTGCTCTTCGCTCAGAAGACTCTCTCTTCTACTACATCCTTTTTGATTTACCTAATGTCATACTACAATCCAGTTTTAAATTCGTTTCCCTTCTACTCTCATCATTAACATTCGTATTTTTGGTTTTTAAGACTGTATGAAGCAGACCACTTGGCAACAAAAAGAAAGACTGGTCTTTTTTGCTTCATCTCCTAAACAGTTTTCTAGAACTGACACACACAAATATATTTTAAATCAGTCTACATTAATTAAAATATAATTGCCCAAAGTAAAATCTAACTATGCCAGTCAACATAGCAAAACCTAAGGGATGAACTCGGGTGTTTCTGGTAGAGTGACAAGGCTGGCATTTTTTTCAGAAGCCAAAAGATAAAAAAGAACTGACCTTATCTATTTGTGCAGTCTGGCAATAAAATCACAGAACAAGATACTGAACACATGCACTCAGATTCATCAGATCCCAGAGCTTATTTCGTAATTTAATAAGATAAATTGAAGACTCGCAACAACATTAATTTATCTTTTGTAGCTTAAACTTTATTACTGGTATTATATACATGTTTAATAATGGTTTTGTCCCTGTAAGACTACAAGAAGAGCCAGGAGAAGAGAGTCTGTACTGAAAATGAAAGGAAACAATGGAACAACAATTTCAGAAACTCAGACTGATAAGAACTTCATATAGATTTTGCACAGTAATTTAAACATAACAAATAGTTTACAGCTGCTTGAATACCTTTACAGGCAGACCAAACTTTTTTTTGATTCATTCAACTTATTCCTATGCAGCTTTCACACTATATGGCATGGTATCGAATTAGGAATAATATACTTCCTCACTGCTTCCCACAGTCCTCAGCTCCCAATCCCCTCAGTGACACTAGAACACCACTATTCTAATCACATAATTATAATGCCATGGGAGCAAAAGGGTGTTCTAGAAGTCAGGGATAAGTGAAATAAACCAGTGAAGAATATAAACCAGCAAGGCTTTTTTTTGTTGAGTTTTCTTGTGCAACATAGTAAGAAAAACTTGTTTGATTAGGAAATACTGAAGTCCTTTGTTATTAAGGCAGACTAACAAATGTCGGCAAACGGTTCTACACACCAAATTTTTAAAGCTTAAGTGAGTTCCAACAGAGGCTGGAGAGCTGAAAAAGACTGGGTCAAGCTTCTTCATAATGAAAGGACATCAGACATTTCATCCCATGACAACTGAAGCTACAGGCTTTTTTAGTTAAAAAAAGTTTCCATCCATCATACGGGCAGGACAAAACTTGTCAGAATTCCACAGGCATCTCTTATTATCACAAACAAGACAGAATTAGAATGTAGCAGCATATTTCTGAATGAGACTTTACAGTTAGGCAAACACTTATTTAAGCTACCTTATAAATATGCTTTTGATTCTTTTTCTTAAACATAAGGAACCAAGATGATGCATCAAGTAGTGCTATATCACATTCCCACAAGACTGGAACTAATATGCTTCCTTCTGAAATGACATTACAGCAAGCTGCGCTGTCTGATGTTCTGCACAACTAATGGCATTTCCCTTCAAAGGAGGAGCAACCCTACTTGTCATTTCCAGGTAAATATATTTGCACTGTATTGCCTTGCAAAATGAAATACTTCTCATGCTTAAGTACATATAAATACTGCATGTGGTGGAAAATTAATGTGCATTTTCATGCCCGAGCAGCTTATGGATGAGGTCTGATGGAAGTGCTAAATAGAACACGAGCCTAGAGGAAAGTTGAGTTTTGTAATTAAAGAACCCTGAAGAAAAGGTTGTACAACTACCTCTTTACTCAGTCTAGCAAAAACGTACAATCAAAGCTGCTCAAGTGTTTGTCGCAAAATAGCTGTAGAAGACCAAATAAAAAATACAGGACAAATTATGTTTTATTGTTTACATCTGAAATCTACAACATCTAGATGAATAGCTCCCTGATCATAACGATAACAAGAAACTAAAATAACCTTGTTCCCCAGCTTCCCAAGAAGGTGTAATTGAAATCGGTATATTGGAGTTTGAGTGCTCTAAACTCTACTGTGGTCACATACTCTTACCAAGCACTGTGGTTAACAGTACAACTTAAAAGCGGTACTGGCTCTTGCCCCTTTCTTAAGTGACCTCCTAAAAACCAGTACTTGGCTTGTCATTTCCATAAGTCGATAGGAAAAAAGACCCCCGAAAACTTGGCACAGAAATTTTGTGGTGCAATGCATATTGCTTTAGGTTAAAACAAAAAATTACCTGGCAAGGAAAAAAAGAGAAAGCATAGCATTAAGCATTAGAAATAACAAACACAAAGCAAGATGAATAGATGCTAAATATTAGAATTCGAGACTAACAGATTAGTAAACAGACCTAGATGTTAATTCCAAGAAGTTTCTTTGTTTTGTTTATAAAAAGCCTCCATTATCACAGATTCTGTGAGTTTAGGTCACACATGCAGGTGTTAACTTGTACAAGACAGTTCAAAAAAATATTTGAAGTGCCCTTCATTGATCTCAGAATAAGCATTGTGAAAATAATTGCAGCAGCAAACGCAACTCTACTTGCATAGTATAAATTTTCTGCAACTCAGCCAAATATTTGACCCATTTTTGTGGAAGTTTCAAAATACAGTTAACTCCAAGCCAGCAAAATAATTAGCATGCCAGCAAAAACCTACTTCAACTTTTATACGTGGCCATAAACAAAAACTACCTTAACGTTTCAACTTCCCATAGAAAATGGTGATTATATTTTGACTGAACAAGGGCTCTGACCCAGTCAATAAGCGTGCAAGTTCCATTTATTGTATATAATAAAAAAAAATAAGGATTGTATGCACTACACTGAAGGAGCAATTATTACATAAGGGAAAGATAACTTAGCAGTCAAGTCACAGCAGCATCAAGGTCATCAGGTTTAAAAATAGTAAATCTGTTTCACTACTTCCAGGTGATTCCAAATTCATTACCACTTCAAGGTGTATTTTCATTGCCCCCCCTAAACACAGGTATATCTTTATCAAAATTTAGTTTTAACTTTATTTCATTAAACATCATCCTAATTTTTACGTTATGTTACTGGCAGATCTTAGTTGAACAACAAATCTTAAGAAATTCTAGCCTTCCCTCATTGCAGTGCTAGTCATAAAAAAAATAATCATGGCGCATTCAGCAGAAGTAGAAAAAATGCCCAGTAGTAAGTGCAGTATTTTTTAATAAGAGCTTAATATGGATGCATTTCCATCTCATGAAGTTTTACACTTTTTTTACAGCCATGCTCGCTATATAGCTACCTTGCAATCATAGTCAAATAGTCTCAGATGTTGTTTTCAGGATTTTTTAAAAAATATTTTTAAATATGTATTTTTACATATTTAAACAACATTTTTATTTATAATGATAATATAATAAATACATGTTTAAAACTATACTTTTAATATATATATTTAAATGCTTGCTTTCTTGTTTTATGAATAAAATTTCTGGATTAAAAATCAGTATGCATCCTCAAAGCTCAGAGTCAATAATTAGAAACGTATACACTTGGTAGTGCATTACAGAGCACCCAAAACTTTATGCTATTTAACATTCAGAAAGATATTGCCACTACTAATATACCTTTCATACAAAAAAAGTTATTGCAATGTATCTGCTTTGGTTTTTTAGTCAACTTTAACAATAATTTATCAGCTTTGAAGGAGTTTTTCATTAAAGCTAAAACCAGAAGACAAAATTAGGCAGATGTTTATTTTACCAATATTCCGGGTGTATATGTAATTTGTTTTCAAACTTATAAAGGTTCCCCCCTCTAATCAGCATTTTAGTAGGATAGAATAAAATACTGAAGTTCTGCTCAGTATTTCTTTTAGAAATAATCCTGCACTGCAAGTCAGCATGGGACTATTAAGGCTTAGAGATTTCCTTAAAATTTAAGTCTCAACATATATCAAATAAATGTGGATAATTAACTAGTCTTCATATTTCCAACTGAAAAGCAAAATAAAAATAAAAGTAAAGAAAACCAACCCCAAATTCCATAAACTATACCATGGCACCCTCTGCTGGACAGCCAAACATAAGAACAACTAAAAGTAAAATACATCAAGGTTAAGGAAAAGAACTCAAAATTGCACACAGATGATTATGGAAGTATAACTTGTTTTCAACATACAACAAATAAGATGGTTTCTGATACATCTCATCTATATAGCATACAGCAATACAGTGGTAATTTTTCAGTTTCAACACAAGAAAAGTTACTTCTCTCCTGTTTACAACTTCAAATCAAAACATGACTATCTACTTTTAGGCATGTTGCTTCCAAAGTTAATACCCCTTAGAAGTAGCTTGCCTCAAACAATTTGATACTTCTTCATAAGAAGTTTAGGATTTGGTAGCCTGAATTCACAGGACCTCTCAAGTCTCATATTTAAAAAGTGCTTGTTGTCTTGTTTTATGAATAAAATTGTCAGATTAAAGATCAGTATCCTCAAGGATCCGAGACAAGAATGTAGCAGCATGAACACTTGATTGTGCATTACAGAGCATCCAATTCTTTACACTATTTCATGCTCAGAAATACTTGCCACTACTAACATGCCTTTTATACAAAAAAAATGTGATTGCACATTGCAATAACCTTATGTCAACTTTAACAATAACTTGGGAGCTTCAAAGGAGTTTCTCCATTAAAGCTGTAGAAAACTATGTCAAGTAAAGTCTGCCAGGCATTGCATTGTAACTTCAGTATTTCTGATAATGGTACCTTGTTAGACAGCAAGGAAAAGTCTTACCCTGTTAAAGCTGTGCTCGTGAGAATCTTCCAGCTGTCCATTGCTAGTCACAGGAATTTCTGCCGCTGAATTTTTGGGAGACTCTTGAGCCATTGCACCTTCCTATAGGATAAGAAGAAACAGGTTAGCATTTGTCTTGGATTTCCAATGAGTGATCTATATGAAAATATTTGATGCATAGGTTTCACAACAGTTGATTTTATTTCAAACTCCTATCGGTAATATTCTGATATACTAGGTCTGTATACATTCATTTAATCACACCCCCAAATCACATTAATATGCTAGCACAGCTCAGACAGAAGTAATTTAAAGCTTTGAGATCTAAGAGAAAGGAAACACTAAAATTTAACCCATTGATATGGGGGTTGGGGGGTGCCAGACACAAATGAGATGTGGGGCCAGACAAATATTTTCTATGCACACTTGACCCTTGCCGTAGTTTATGTATCTCAAACTACAAAAAAGGGTGAGCTTGGCTAAAAAAAACAAACAACAAAAAAACCCCTGTACTAACTAATGATAAGCAAGAAATATTAGAGAAGCGCAATGAGTTTAATCACGTGTTACAAATAGGAAAGCAATGATTCCAAACTTTAAATTCGTTTAACTTGCTTCTTTATTTTATCATAATGTAGTGCCATCTTCTGACTAAACTTGGTATGCAACTCTCATTCAGTCAACAGCAGTAAATCTAAAGTGAAATGCAGAAACAAGAACTTAAAAGCACCAATGCAATTCAAGAATCAAAGTCAGTTTCAAAATGCAGCCGTGTTATGAACCGTAGCAGCAGGTGTGAAACCACTGCTTCCAAGAACGACCAAAGGTATAACCTAGACAAGACATTCCCAGAAGAAAAGCACACTGTTTACAAGCACCTGAAGAGGGAATGGCACCCTAACACTCTCCAAAACTAAGAGAAACTGAAAATTTCGGCCCTCTCAAAAAGCTACCCCTAACTCTGCAAGACAGCTTCATTAGTCACCCGAAGTGTAAACAGTAGAAAAATCAACACGCAACCGAAGCAGTGTTTGTTCAATTACTTACATAAAAGTTGTCGGAATTCTTCAAACCAGCCCATGCACCTGTGCAAGACTGGCAAGACATGCTACACCATCAACGGGTACTTGAGAATAGGTGCTTTCTTCCCTTAAAGCTCCTAAATCATCAAACTGAACCAGCATTTTTCAGTCACAGGGTCAGGAAGAGGCCCAGGCTGAAGTACTAGCAGCTTCTCCAACCACACGTGAAGCTTTTACAGGATACCCACGTAACACAGACATTTTACTGGTACTTACTCAGGGTCACCTGCACCATTCTTAATTGGCAACATCTCCTGTTATACCCCATTGCTAATATTTCCCCCACTTTCACCTGTCACCACTTCTTACATTAGTAAGCTTGATTTCCTTAGTAAGCTTTGAGGCCTCCCAAGCTTTTTTTTTTTCTAACTAGTCACCGTCTGTGGGCTCCAATAAACATGCTCCTCTAACTCCAGATCGCTTTCAAAGCGATGTTACCATAACTTCTTCCAAAGACTGTGAATTACTGAGACTTCACCTCTGTTGCTCTTTTGAAGCAGAGCTCGCTAGCCAAACTTTATTTGGTATCTACAAAATCTGATTTACATTTCTCAAAGTGTAACAATCTTCTTCAATTACCAGCATAAAACACCACCATCACAAAAAAAAAAAAAAAAAGAAAAGGCAAAGAGACAGAAGTCCATCAAGTTCTGAGTACGTGCTGCCTTTTACCCATACGGAGAAGAGAAACAAAAAAGCCAAGGCCAAGCCACTCTAAGAACCATACATATGAACTACAATCTGGGGATGCATACCCATAAAATACCATCTGAGGTGATGCATTTTCCCCTTTTGAGGATCAAGACTTTCTCTACAACTAACTAACTTAGCAAAACTGCATTGAAAGCTACTCTTTCAAAAATAGTGCTTTATGAAACACTGCCCTAAAATGAGAAGCTAAACATTTAGGCACAGCTTTTGAAAAAACTCTAAATACATAGAGAACAGACTTCAAATTATTTAAGAAAAAGTGACTTTATAAGACCAAACGTTCTAGTTATATGATGTCGTTTATAAGATCAAATGTCCTAGTTGCCTGCCATATTAGATTTTAATTAAGGAAATCTGTCCAATAGCTCAAGCTTCTTAAGCTTGCTCCGAATCTCACATCTGCTTAAACTCCAAGACTGCTAGGAACTATACTTCTACTTGACACAGTGCAGTCAGGTATTTTTCAAAATGCTTGGCCTGTCACAGCTACCTGCACAATACTGAAACATTAGCATAGGCTAACGTAGCTATTCTTGTTCTTCTTTCTGCAAAAGGTCAGAAAACACAGTGTCAAGGGGAAGTCCTGTACTGTCAGGGGATACACTTCATTTGGTAGGGATCAGAAACAAAATTGTATCTCCAAATTTAATTAAAGGCAAAACAAATACTTGGCTTGGGTGCTTTTCATCAAGAATTTCAAATCATTTTGCTCATATTGTACACTCATATATATTTTTGCATTTATTCAGAGACAGGCATGCACATGCATACATGTCTCTAATACATACATTAGAAAACAAAAAATCATCGGCTTCTCTGGACAACTTACGAAATCTAAAAAGGCCTAGAAGCAATTCACAGGGTTTTTTAGGTGTTTCTACTTGAGGCAAACCTACCTATCAACTTCAGAGAAAGCAAATAATTACTTGCTAACTTCAGTTTCCTGTTATGTCTGAAGTAAAACACCATCTTCCATTGCTGAAAGGAGGACATCTCACTACTCCCCTTTTCCAGTCCCTGTGAGCCAGGCACTGTCCCACCTCCCACCCACAACACAGGCCTGCCGCTCCCCCGACTGCACAGGGAACAGACTCAACTCAGGAGCCTGACAACAGCCCTTTTCACCAGGTTAATTTTCTGCAGCTTCAGTGACTTGAATGAGTTTGCGATGAGTTCAGGCAAGCACCAAAGACATGAAGTGAGCAGCTGAAAAAGGGAAGTGGGATAAACTGCTAATTTGGCTCAGCCGTAACATGAAATCACCACCTGCATTTTAGTCAACAGTCTAAGCTAGCACTGCTGCCAAGAACAAGTCCTTGCCCCCCCCCTTTTTTTTTTCCCCCTTTACCCCAACTCTTACCCCCATCAGCTTCCCCCATTCCCCCCTTTACCCCTACCTCTTCCCCTCATCAGCTTCCCCCATTGCCCCACCTCTTCCCTGGGCCAGAACAAGGTATTTGTACAGCAAACAAGATTACAGAAACACGGCAGGTTAAAAGAAGGTGACCTATGCCCAAAAAGGGGATGGGTAATTTTTCCACTCAAATCAGTTCTCCAAAACAGTTCATCACATAGTTCCAACACCTGCACCTACAAAACAGAGGGGGTAATAATGCAATAAAACACTACTAAGAATGAAGGACTGCTCTCAGCCACAGCACCGGCTTACTTCAGCAGTGCAATATCTCAAAATACTTTAAGCGTAGACCATTGCCAAAACCAGTGGCCAGTTCTCTCTACCTCTGGATGCATGTTCCTGCAACCTCACACAACCTTGGTAAGCTTGCTGATCTGAGAGAAAACTGAACCACCAAATCACAACAGTATTTGTTAGAACAGTGAGTATGATTGCTGAATGAAGTGTCCCTTTGGCAGGAGCAGCCCACAGCTGATTTAAACTAAATATATAAAGAAACTGCATCCTCAGAAGAAAATTTATCATATGCAGGAAGAGTCTAAAGTAAATATAAAGAAGTTCCTAAATGTGCATTGATGCATTGGGCATGAATGAAATAAGCACTATGGAAAATCACAAAGTTTGAGCTGGATATTTTATTTAGAAAAATGTATTAATCCTTTAGTAACTTTTTTCTTAGCACACCTCTGTTTGCAAGTATCAGATTTGGAGATATACTAAATATCTATGGAATCACTATTCTGTTTTTATAAAAAGTTTAAAAACAATTGACTGGTACTGAAACTCTAATAGTGATAAAGTCAGCATCATCGTTTTTCATTCTCAGTGTACAACAGCCAGGGAAACGTTTACTCTTTACCTTTCTGAAACAGCCTCCCAAACACATCTGATTGGCTAAATATTATTGAGAACCTTAGGAATTCGTTCATTATTTTAAAAAGTCACAGACTTCTCCACAATGAAGGTGCAAGCTGTATCTGCTCCCAAGAAAAAAAGATTCACCACTCCAGCAGCAGTAGAATGCCTTTTTACATCGAGGTTACACAAAGACTGCTGCCTTTTAAGTACCAACCCTTTCTTCCTGCAGCACCTACACATTTCAGACTCTACCCCGCCTAAATCTATTCAGCTTACAAAACAAATACCACACCACAGCAAAAGACTACTGGTTGAAGTAATCCTTTGTTAGGAATTAATTGGATTGTTCTTAATAGTGTCTCAAAACCAAACCCACCCATTCAAGATAATGTGCATGAGCTCATATCCCCATACTGACTTCACTGTGCTACGTACATCAGCATTTTTGGCAGTCTGAAACTGTTGCTGGGATTGGTTGATTTGACACTAATAGAACTATCACCCAATCACCTCAGAGTCAGACTGGACCTCTTCTGCAGCTGGGTGAGATTCATCAAGTGTTGTGGATTCATTGCTGCGTTCTGACATACCTGAAAATAAAATAGGTTTGGCATGCATTAATTGACATGAAAGGAGCTGGATGTTGCACCTCACAGAAACCAAAGTAGGCTTTCAGAAAACACTTCTTTTACAAGTTCTGCTAAAGCAAAGAGAAACCTCTCTCTTTTGATGATGACCAGGTCTTCAGCTCTCCAAAATCTAGCCAAGACTAGGAATATAGTCTAGCCTAAGCTCCCACTGCCAAAGCAACCTTCCCCACGCAGACAGCTAAGCTTGCAACATAAAACCCAGGAAGTCACACAAGGTTGTTCAGCTGATATTTACTGTCACCTGCAACAATACACTGACTGTATCCTACCATTGCAAAGATCACAGCTTTGTTAAGACCTGAAATTTATCCAAATGTTGCAAGTTTATATTGATGCTAAGCCACTGGAACCTAGTAAGCTGTTTAGTCTGTTACGCCTAACTAGAAACAGAATCTATCTTTTTTTTCCTCAAAAAAATCTCACTTACAGAGGCAAAGGAAGTTGATAACACTGAGCACATGCACAAGAAACCAACTCTGTGAGTACAGTGGTCATGAAAGATAAGTGACACACCTAACATAGCTTAAATAAGAAAAGTACCTAAATTTGATTTCAAATAGCTGGTAACTACAGGTGACACTGCAATTCACTCAACTGTTTGAGAGGAGGAGACAACCAATCATTAAAAATTAAACAAAGTCTGTCAGTATTGAGTATAATCACACATGACTTCAGTTCATTAAGTATTGCACCACTTTATACATGTTCAACCACATACCAGATTAAGAAAAATTAGAGGGATCACTATTTATATTGTATTTCAATTTCCCAAGCTATAAAACACTTTAATTAAAGCAAATAATTAATAAGGTAAGCAGCTCATATGACAAGGGAAATAAAATAAGGACACAAAGGCTGAGAAACTGAACCATCTAGATCATATTACACTGGATAACTTATTACTTTACTTTGGAAAACCAAACACGTAAGATATTTTCTCCAGAAAAACAATTCATTCAGGACTATCATTGAATGAAGTTGGATTTTTCTCTGACCAATACAAAATCCCTTTCAAAGTAATTAAGTAGGACTTCTTTACATATCTTTCTTAATTTTCTATAATTCTTTCGAATATGAAAGACCATACAGCAGAGGTGCTGCTTTCCCACACAGTTCTGTCCAAACTCTGCCTGTGGTTGAAAACAACCTCCATGCTGAACAGATTATTTCTGAGTAGGTAAAAAATTTCCATTATGAACCAGAAGAGTAAATTTAATTTCTTTGCTGTGTTGCTCAAACAAGAAGTTAAATTCATCTTGCAGTGCAGTCTTGGTTAACACAATCTGCACCTCAGTTTTACCACATTAGTGATTCTGGAGTTATGCTTGTACCTCACATACAAACTTATATACCATATAACACTGTTTAAATTATTAAATGCTATAAGCAGCAAAAAATATTTTCTTGATAGCCTTAAGAACTCTTAATAACCTAATCTAGAGGCATGAACCATCTCACAAACCCATGTAGAAGACACTGCGTAAAGACAAATAATTAATTTTTTAAAATTCAAATTAATTCACCGTTTGTGTTACAACCTTCCCCCACCCTCCAATTTTTTGTGTAGTATTCTCTTCCTGCAAGCAGTATCAACACTTTGAATGCAGCTCTGCAGGATCACACTGACCAACTTTAAAACATGAGAAGGGGAAAACTGTACATTACAGGTGGCTTTTGTAAAAAGTTTAAGTGTACATTCCAGTTAAACTACAGAATTCCCTGATGACTGCTTCTACAGCAAAACAATGGGGATGTAAACATCAAATGCTGGATGTAAGGACAAAAACTTTCCACATTTACAAGGATTCAGAAGTTAAGACGTTCATGTGAAATTGTGGCAAACATGGCATCTACATACATATATTACTTATACCTAAGGTTTTATTATAGAAATGCATATAGATTTTTATATCTCAGTAGCTCTTGATTTTCTCTTGCAGGTATCAGAGAAAGGGCCGTTCTTTATACAAGCTTGCTAATCTTCAGTACAGTATGAATTCTGCATTACTGATTATTTTTTTCACTAAAGCAGCCACAACTTTAGAACGTGCTGGGTGACTGTCCAGTGTACCAGGACATTCGTTACCATCAGCTGCAATTACAACATAGAGATGTTTTACTTGGAAAAAACACGCCTGATCCACATTCTGACATGAATTTAAGCCCAAAACCCTGACCTCACCACTCCTGCCCCTCTGGATTTTCTTTTTTTTTTTTTCCCACTAGACCAATTCCCGAAAATCCACACAAATACTGCACCAGCGTAGAACAGAGGAGACAGAATAGACTGAAATTTTCTTCTTTATACAAGCTTGCTAATCTTCAGTACAGTATGAATTCTGCATTACTGATTATTTTTTTCACTAAAGCAGCCACAACTTTAGAACGTGCTGGGTGACTGTCCAGTGTACCAGGACATTCGTTACCATCAGCTGCAATTACAACATAGAGATGTTTTACTTGGAAAAAACACGCCTGATCCACATTCTGACATGAATTTAAGCCCAAAACCCTGACCTCACCACTCCTGCCCCTCTGGATTTTCTTTTTTTTTTTTTCCCACTAGACCAATTCCGCAAATCCACACAAATACTGCACCAGCGTAGAACAGAGGAGACAGAATAGACTGAGAATCTTCCCCCCACAGCAACGTCACCTTAAACGCACATCAGATTACTAACTCAGCCATTTTAAGTTCTGCTCACCACAAATAAAACCGCACAAACTTTAAGTCCTGGGGATTTATGTATAATTTCTTCAACTGACAAAGTAAAAAGCAAAGCAAAAACTTATAAACAACACACTAAGCTTCCTCCAGGAGGAAGACTTCAGAGACATTTAACCAATTATAATTAGTGGTTGTAAGGGCACATTTATGGACTTCTCATAAAAAAGGCAAATTCATATTTGCTTGTTCATGCAAATATGAATTAAACGTCATCAACAACAAATTCATTTTGAATAAGGGGTTTATTCTTAACACAGTTGCATTACTTAAGTAAGTGACTTACGGTCTCAGAAACGAGAACCATGGGATTCTCAACAGTTACATGTGTTTTTCTAAGCAGGATGCGCTGGCTCCTTCACTTAAGTTTTTCTCTTAAATTAATTGCCAATAAGGTAAAAGCAAGATATCTTCTGTGCAAATAAAGTTTATTACACACTTTTACTGTTGTCTCATTACTCCACTGCATAGATAAACATTAAAAGTTTTTGAAACACTGCAGAAAATGCAAGTGCTGGTGGAAAAGAACTATTTAATGCATATTTTCTTAATTTCAATTTCTAACTAAGAACATTATCGCTGATTCTTGTGAAGATCAACATCAATTGCTTTTTAAAAAGAATTTAAAGAACTGTATTAAGCACTTTCTGCTACAATCACATCAGTTTCATCTTTATGCTCTTGAATTCCCTGGCTGCTCCACTTGCAAGATCTAATTATGCTTGAAAGTTACAAGACATGATGGAGATAAGGACTGGAGAACAGGGCTGCCACTAACTTCCACACTCCCTACTCTCGGTCAACCTGCCCCGAAGCGCTTTAACGCTCTGCTCGTCTCCAGGTTAGCTAAGGCATGGGCTCCCAGTATGGTTTCAACTTCTACCAAAACAGAAAGAAGCAGCTGATCAAGGCATTGCCTCAGCTTCCAATTTTTCCAATCTAACGTTCTTCTGTATTACTTATTCCTTACATGTTAACTATCTGTGTGTACATACATATATATACACACACATAAACATGTATATGATTCAGACAGCTGTTTGGACTTGCACTGATCAAATGACATCCTTCTCCAGCCCTGCAAAAGAACCGTTTTGTTATCTTTTCTAGAGAATCAGCACTTAGATAACAAAGCCACTGACTGCAAGTGCTAACTCCTTGTCGCCAGTTCCACCAAGCATTAAAAGCACACGTTAGGCACTGAAACTACATCCAGTTCGGGGGATGCAAGATGAAAGGCTATGAGGGGGTTTCAGTTAAAAATGATAGATCAGGGATGTACCATAAGCAACACCAGAAGCATTACTTATAGTTTGTAAACAACACCAGATGCAACACCTGCTTGTCACACACCACCACAGTGTTTCCATGTTTTAAGAATAGTAAGCCAGCTGCAAAAGACAAATTGGAACATTTAAAACAATAATTGTCAGGGTGTGGAATAAGTCCCAGGGGCATGAAATTTATGCAGCATCCAGAGTTTTCTTCCTCCACCAACAATCCGTCTCCCTTTCTCTCCCGTGAAACCCACCTTCTACCAAGCTCAGGCTCTGCCCGCCCTCTCCGGGTGCCCACCACCCCCCGCAGCGGGGACCCCGCCGTGAGCCCTGCAGAGAGGCAAGGAGAAGGGCAGACCCCAGCCAGCACCGCACTCCCGACCCCCACGGCAGGGGAACC